TTAATTTCTTAATTAAAATTAAAGCGTTTACCTACGTTCTATATTCCATTCTAACTGAATGTAAGACCTAATTCACATCCAATAAATAGAAACAATAAAAATAAATTCATTACTCAAAGCAATATCTAGAACAGTATGACGAACTATTACTTGTTTTCCCAATGGTTCTCAACAATTACACCTAATTACACCTAATCAACGGGTAAAACCCATAAATAAATCGATAAGATCTAGAGAGAAGGCATCGAATTAATTTCCACGCTCAATAATTTAACATGCTCGTAAAAGCGTGTCGCGATAAAAATCTGACAAATCGCATAATCCGTGTAATTATCGAAATATTATTGAGCGTTACGTAATCGTGTTTCACGCGGTGAGGTCAGGCAGCCAGTGTTCGAGCTGCGTGCGATTTTGCGAGGTGCATTCAGCTCCGAGTACACGACACACGATACGGTATACTGTTTGCGCGTTACTGGTGTACAGTCATGTAAGTATATGGTGCACCATGTACGACCATTCGGTTAAACATCCACAGTCAGCGTCAGGAGCAATGAGCTTATCTTCTGTGACGTGAGCGCTAAGTGTGTAAGCGGCCGTGTAATCGCCTCGCCACCAATGCGCGTGTTAGAGATGGGATCGAGGACCTCACAAGTAGGTTCGAAACTTTACTGGTATAACAAGTATCTCGAATAGTTCCTTTCAAGTATACCATCGGAGTCTAAGCGGCATAGTGTCGAATGTTTCATGAGCACCTCTGAAAATGAAATGGAATTTTTTTTCGATTGGGCGGAGAAGAATCGAGTCTTTTAAAATGGAGATTTTTCTGGAGTATGCTTCTAGACGAAGTATAGTTCCTTTCTTCCTAATTTATCCAATTTATTTGCATCAGATTAATTTGCGCAAATAATATCTTTGTATCTAATATAACAGACAGCAAGAAAGCAATACTGAAGAACAATTGACAGTACAAATAGAATGTTACAAGCGAATTTTTTTATACAATTTCATCGATTTGACGAATTCTTAGTGCTATTACTTGTATCGTACAACTAACTTTCGAAATCTGTAAGTACCTATTTCAGGGTTTAAAATTCAACTTGCATTATAAATCGTACAAAGCGAGTAATTTAAGCTAATCTGTATGAATACGTTGCAGTATTTGAACTATTTTATTTTACTCGCTGAAGCAAAGCAAAACCTAGATATCGAGTTTGTCCTGGTTTCGTGAGCACATATTGGAGTCGAACCCATCTCTAACGCGTGCATATTCGTCAACACAGACGCGATTCGCGTGTAGTCGCGCGAATGCACGACGCGGCGTAAACTCGGGCCTACGCCCTCGCGTTCAAATGTTACGCTCGGCACACGGCCCGTAACCAAAGTACCAGTGAATCGTACATTTTCTACCGATGCCAGGCTTCAATGCTCTTTTCGACACGCTATCAGCATCGGAATAAACGCTACACTCTCGCTCTCCCTGTGTGCAGTTGAAATTAATGTTGATACCCAAAACAACTGACGTCTCGTCGTTTCTTTCGTTCGATTTCAGATGTTTGATTGTCATTCTCCAATAGACTGCACGATATGACTAAAACCTCGTAGTTCCAGTAAATATCCAATAAATTTTGAAGCTGTTGAATCCATACAACATCTTTTCGAATTGGAAGAAACTTTGTGGTTGTGGCGGCTAGCACATGCCGAAGAAAGTCAATTTTTTAACGGTAAAGGATTTAGCAGGATTTACCACTCACGCGTCGAATTGCAAAGGTACCCAATTAATAGTGAAATTCTAGGTTTCCAAGTGCCCACACGCAGATCAAAAGCTCTGAGAATTACCGACGAAAGTAATAAAGTAGGGCCTGGAAAAAACCCTGCTGCATCACTAACAATGAAGATCGTCCTTGATGAATTGCAGCCGCATCCCGGAGAAAGTGCGTTACGAGACAAGACAATCTAATTGGTTAAAACCCGGAAATAGCTTGGCCAATTAAGTATGTTCGGGACAAGAACCGAGGTTTCTTCAGAGCTTCGAGAAGCATGAGAGTTCAGATTTTTCGCTGATTCGGAGTGTGTAAGATTGAGATTAAGATCGGTTCACGAGTGAGACGAAATAAAAGAGTTGTACGAACAGAGTGTCGATCATTGCCTGCACTAATCTCTCCCCTTCAGTGGTTAAGAGATTATTTTCATCGCTTTAAATGAACATCGAATAAATGAAAAAGAATGGTAGATGGTGAACGTTTCAATTAATGAAAGTAATAAAAATTGGAGCGAGTTTCGGAAAATCCAAATCTTTTTAACCTTTGACTACGTGAAAGTGAATTATCATACAATCTCGAGTAATTAAATGCTTTGATTTGAATTGAATTCAAAAATACCGTGACGGTGCCGCAAATCGATCAAAGTGCTCTGATGCACATTACTATAATCACAGAGTTAAACGTATCATTTCCATGGAAATCTTACGCCTAGCAAACTTTTCCTTTTCCTTTTTCTTTCGTCGCGTCGGCGTCCGATTACGTAAAAAACCTTCCTCTCGTCTCATTTGCCGAGGATTACTCGCCGAGGAAATTGCGAGTCTGCCGGCATTCGAAACAAATCGAGATTTTGTTCGCGTGTGTTGCGCAACAAATCGAGGGGTGTCTTTGGTGAACAATGGCGCGCAGAGATATTGCGAAAGTTTGTGCACGAAACCTTTGTGTTCTTCGAGCTTAGTTTGCTCGATAATAGCCTTCGAAATAGGGTTTTCGTAGGAGAGATACTTATTTAATAAAGCAACGTTTCGCAATAAGGCCTGTGTACCCTTCGCGTTCTCGCTGATCGGGCACGATCGATCGCGAACGATACACGGCTGCGAAATTATATCGTGGCAAACGAAAATTCTCCGGCGGACGCGTTCGCTGATCGTCGGTAAAAGTAATTCTTTCCTCGACGATGCAATGCAGCCGAAAAGGTCAGGTGACTCGTTCTTTTCACGCCGAAGGAACGGCAACTTCTGACGAAAGACAACCCGATCCACGACGAAAGAGCGAGAGGGAATAGCAAAAGAAGACTGATCATTAGTGTCGATATTAGTTTACGAATTTTTATCCTATGTCTCGCATTGTGTTCAGATAAATTTTAATTAAATTTTAATTGAAGAAAGTTCCCTTTTCCCTAACTCCCCTCATTTCTATTATCCTTAACTATTCTTTGTAATGTGTGACTCAGTAACACCAATATTTAAATTGATTATCAGTTAATGAAGTATTATTAATCTATAACATGTGACAACCGTGGGTCCGAAAAATTGGATAATTTTTAATATTATTCGTGTTAATTTATACAGTTTTATCCAACCTTTATGTCCCTCATCATTAATTTGAGTATACTTTCGCTCAAAAATCTTAGAACAGTTACGATTTTACCAAAAGATCTGCACAATTCAAAATTCACAATCAAATATCGAAGTTTCATTAAAAATAATGTTCTTGTAATGTCCAAAAATTTCTCAGCAGGAGTATAATTCCGAGTTCTAATTTGAACTCTATTTCAAAATATTTGCACATGTAACGTTGAGTTCGATTTTTCTTATTTCACGTTCACTGCGATGACACATATGTATATAGTAAATATAATTCTGATTGCCCAATCAATGTTTCGTAAGACGAGAAGCTGTTAGCTTAAAGTACACGGTTTTGTAGATATACGAATCACCATACTTCTCGTCACTGTCGTTATTTACTGTCAATAAATTCGCGATCCGGCTTTAATAGGACATTTAGCGGCGAGAATGGCCGATTGAAATTTAAGCGCGTCAAGTGTGGAAAGTAGAATTCAGTGTCAGTAAACGACGAGGCCCAGAGAGATCGGTCGAGGAGATAGAGATGCGCACGGACTAGTTGAGTACGCTTCCGTTAATGGACGCGGCCGATGACTTTAAGACCGAGAAAAATCAAGAGCTGACAACGTTAGAAAAGCGCTTTCCATTGGCGAATGCTTTCGTGAAAGTTCATTCGATCATTCTGGTTCTGCTAGAATAGACTCGAACGATAATCGTCCGACCGTAAGAATAGATCGTGAAGTCGATTTTCCTTCGCCACACGCACGTTGTCAATTATTGCGAGTATGTACAATATAATTGTCTATTATTTGTGCATTTCTGTTAAAAATCAGACACCTTTCCAGCTGAGTCTAACTTTGAAAATATTTGTTCAATATTGTTGTTCATTGTTGATTTAGAATCACTGGAATGTATGTTTCAGATTCACATTCTAAAGACTTATGTAAACTTTACAAGTGTCGACTGATTGTATAAAGATAAGTATCGCACTTGAATGAACTGTGTAAATAACTACTAATTTACTAAATTTCTTACAATGTGTATTCTCTCATTAATCATTTCTTAAATTCTGTCTTGCTAAATTCCATCATATGTTTCACTGTTTGTCGAGATACAGTGAATGGGATTCATTTTCAGATGGAAGAGATTACCCGAAGATTTCTATAACAGAACTTGATAAATAAATATACTGCTTTATACTCGTGATCTCGTCAATAAAATATGGCATATTTTCTTATTATTTGTTCTTTAAAAAAACTTTCTTTTTCCCGTCACTGCATATAGCTCGTTTCAATTTTAAATTTTCCTATCATAAACCTTTCATCGAATTACACCACATGCGCAAACACTTATAGTACACACCTTCATTGACGCGCGATCGTACAAATTTCTCGGGATTTGTGATAAAGATAGATACGTGGATCGGACGTGTCTGTCTGTCGCAGAAAGAAAGAAAGAAACGGTGTCATCGACCCACGGAAAGAATCTACCAAGTTCCATTGGCTCGCCCGGTTCCTCGTGACTTTCTTGACCGTTATTACCGTTATTCCAAACGTCAGAGTACCTTTCCAAAAGAGCAAGAATCTAGGAACGAGTTCTGTTTGTTGCTTGAAATTACAATCGGTCATGGCGGTGTGCCGGCGTACACGGAGCACGTGCGTGCACCTAACCGTGACAGAGTAAAATGCAGAGCAATTGTTATCGCTTCAAAGCGGCTCTTATCTGTTAACGACAACCGTTTTCTCCCGTTTTCTCCGGCCGGAGAAACGTTTGGCACCTTTGCGACCTCCGTTCTCTATTAATTTCGCGACTGAGTTCATTGGAAATTGGCTGACACGGACGATGATGTAATTTAATCACTTCTGTTACGAGTTTTAAATGCTCATTTCATTGGCAACGACCTATGTATATATAAGGATAAAGTAAAAACGAAGCTGTCTCGAAGTTCAGAAATTAGAAAAGATGGAAGTAGAAATTCGACCATCCACGATCTAGCGATAAGCCACATAATTCAACATACTGTTAACTTTTATTTAATTGAAGGATTAAATAGTAATGCGCTATAAATTCATTTCTAAATACTTTAAAAATAAAAATTAGTTATCTAGAATTATTAAGTCTAGTAATGAATGTGTAATATGTAACAACTCTTTCCTTTTCCTTAAATTATATTAAAAATATCTTTTAGCCGTAAAATATATAAATATAAAAATCAACAAATATTGGCTCATCTAAAAAAAAAAAA